TTGATGCTCATTTCTCTTATTATTTACATACATAATTTTGCAAGCATGAAACTTTCAACTCATGCTCATTCTTATTATGGAGAAACAAAATCATAAAGAGAATGTTGGTGAATTGTGAATGAATTAGCCAATTTTCATGCCTATTTTGTCAACTTTGTTGTTCTTTTCAGTATTTTAGTCAGATGTTACAATGTATAATGATTAGTTGTTGCTGTAAAAAAAAAGAGCACTAGATTTTATACAAATATTGCCTTTGATGTGGCCCTTTAAGTTGTCCCAGACCCCCCAAAAAAAAATAATCATCAACCACATAGCTATTTGATCCTTTTGGAAAATATATTACTACTCAATTGCATGAGATCATTAATAAGAATACTATTCCCTCCATTCTTCTTTCATATATCTTTCTAAGAAATTCATCAAAACAAAGGAAATATTCATTAATGTAATTAAAATAAAAAATATTTATTATTCATAAACCTTATCACAAACAAATAAAAATCCATTCTTAACACTTGTTCCATTTCGAATGTAAGGGTAATGTTAGTTGAAGGTGATAAAATGTGCCTTGATTTTAGAAAATGATATATATATATATATATATATATTTAGGAGAATCCAAGGCCGTACCTGGCCGGAGGACCCCGATTTTATTAATTAAAAGGAAAAGTTACATAAGGCAGTGCTTAAGACTTACCCAAACGAAAAAGAACCGTCTTACAAACTTTTCTAGTAAAACCCACGACGATTCTTATGCAATTACACTAGGAATTGTCTTGCAAAGATTAAACTTTAATCCCCTGACAGTTCACTTTTCCTATCTAGGTTCCTAGGAGCTTGCCTTACAAAGATTAGAAACATAAATCCCCTGGCAACTCCATCTAGGTTTCTTGTAGATCTAGAGATTATCTAACCCTAATATAAGGAAATGAAGATTGATCAAGGTGAACTTTTCCACGGATTGATGCCAGAAGTTCACCAAAATTATTATAATGACATGAAACCCTAGCCGAAGCTTGTTTTGCAAGATCATCAGCCACGCTGTTTACCTCTCGGTATATGTGCACAACCTTTGATTGTGATTGTTGCAACATGCTATGGATTGCGCGAAAATGATGATAAAGCTTCCATGGATAACTATGGTCCTTTTGCAAACATACTGTGATGACCTGGTTATCTGTTTGAACCTCAATAAAGCACAAACCCTTCCTAATGCAAGCCCTTAAACCATAATAAATTCCAAGTAATTCTGCTTCCAAGCTCATTGCACTGCCAATGTATTTACTCTCTGCACAAATAAAAACTCCTTTTTGGCCTCTCAAGATGTATCCCCAACCAGCATCACCCGGTTGTCCCAATGCTGATCCATCCGTATTCAAAACATACATCCTTAGATCCGGAGGTTTCCATTTCATAATTTTGATTGTTTTCTTTGACGGATGTAGCACTTTAACTTGAAACAAACTCTCAACTTCTTGTCTCTCCTCAAGATTCTTAGCATGGATCTTATGTACACTTAGCATTTGAGAGATGTTAGTAACAACATTCTTAACCAAAGCCTCAAAAGAAACAGATGTACCTTCAAAGATTATTTTGTTTCTGAACTTCCACACTTCCCACTACAAAGATAGTGGAGTAACCATAATAATCACTTTCCTTGCCGTAGAGAAATTCCCAATTGTTTGCCATGACTGAACATTGCTCCACCAACCAGCATTTTGACTCGGAAGCCCTAACACAGCCGCAAAATAATTCCAAGCTTGTTTAATCCGCGGGCAGCCATGAAAAGCATGGTCCAAGCTTTCATCCGCTACTTGACAAAAGGAGCACCATGATGGATATAGTGTCAACTTCATTCTGCATAAGATTTCAGGAAAAGGCAATAAGTGATTATATAGTCTCCAAATGAAAAAAGATACTTTAAGTGGGATGATTTTATTCCAAAAATTTTTAAGAAACGGAAAAGCTTCTCTTTGGTTCCGGATTGCTGTATAGGCTGATGAGATTGTAAAATCTCCTGTTATTGAGGGAGTCCACACGAGCTTATCAGGCTCATCTGAAAAGAACATCTCCATTTCGCGCAGCTGCCCCTCAACTTCGGGTTGTAACAAGCCTGAAAAAACCTGCAAAAAGAAAAGCTTAGCATGGAAAAAATCAGAAACAGTTAAAGAAGGTATCGGCGGTTCCTCCTCCGTAGTCCAGATTGGTGATGACGTGAGCCAACAAGAGAACCAGAATGATAATGATCCATTTCGTATTTCCAGTTGCGAAGCTGACAACACGAGCTGATGAACCTTATTCGTTCATAGCCAGCTTGTCCTCTCCTTTGAAGATTTTGACAACAATCCTATAAACTTTGCCCATATGCTTGTACCATTATTGACCTTCCACCAGAGCTTAAGAGAAAAAACCTGTATTACATCTCCAAGGCTGCGAATATTAAGGCCATTTTCTTCAATCGACACTACTAGGTGAGTCCATGCACGCCAATGCCTTTTATTCCCATCTTCACTTTCTCCCCATAAATATTGTTGACATTTGTGCTTCAACTCGGATATGATTGTTTTCGGGGGTTCAATTGCAGCAATAGTATGTATAGGAAGAGCTGAAAGCACATGCCGAATTAACACCAACTTGCCTCCTTGCTTTAAGAATCTATTCTTCCAGTTCGATATCTTGGCATCAAAGGCTTCCAACAAATTCTGAAAAAATTCTACTTTCTTCCTCCCCTTAAAAATTTGGCATCCCAGATAAATAAATGGGAAAGACCCTTGTGGCATTTGAAGAGTTTGGTATACTAGAGCTTTTCTCCGAGACATAATAGCAACTCTTTTGTTTGTTCATCTTTTGGCCCGTGGCTGCCTCATAGTCTTGGAAAAAAGAAACCAAATTTTGCATAGAATGCTTTAATCCTCTGGTAAAGATGATTAAATCGTCCACAAAGCACAAATGCGACGGAATCATTGCTTTTGTCGGCACTCCATAACTAGCAATCTTCCCTTCATCTGTTAATTTCCTTAGATTGCCAGTAAGAGCTTCCGAAAGGTGAATAAACAAATACGGCTACAATGGATCGCATTGCTTTATATCCCTTGAAGCCGGGAAAAACCCCACGGGACTACCATTAATGAGAATGGAGAACCAACCCTTTCCAAGATTGGAAAGTACTAATGCCACAAAATGATCATGGAACCCAAACTTGAGCAATACTTGAAGCAAAAAGCTCCATGAGACACGATCGAACGCTTTCATCATATCCACTTTCAGAACTAAATTTTCCCCCCTTGCTGGATGATCTATAAACTGAACCAAATCCTGAGTTAAAAGAATGTTATCAACAATATCCCTCCCAGCTAAAAAGGCTGACTGCTTATCCGAAATTAATCTAGGTAGAACTTTTTTTAGACGCTCCGTCATTAATTTCGTAAAAATCTTATTGATGAAGTTGCATAAGCTAATCGGCCGGAAGCCCGCAAATGTCGTGGCAGTGGATTTCTTTGGAATCAAAGTGATAATAGTGCCGCCAATAGCTCGAGGAATAGGAGAACCCTTCATAAAATCAGAACAAGCATCTAGGAGATCATATTTAATAACGTTCCAGCAATGACGGTAAAAATCCCCCCCAAAACCATCAACTCCCGGCGCACTTGAGGGGTCTAATCCGAAAACAACCTCCTTAAGCTCTTCCATTGTAATACTTCTCATAAGATCTTGATTATCTCCTACGGTTAAAACAGCCGGAAATTCTGAAGTAGACGGGTAGACACTTCCTCATGATTATCAGAAACCTCCTCCGTCAACAAGTTTTTAAAAAACCCTACTGCTTCCTCTTCAATGTCCTCCCTACGTGTCAGCCAGGAGCCATTTCTTCCTCTGATTTTTTGGATGCCTAGACGAGCTTTTTTCTCAATCAAGGAGGCATGAAAAAAATGTTGTATTCGCGTCACCATCACGAAGCCATTTAAGTTTCGATCGTTGCTGGAGGAAATCATCATGTTCTCTCAATTTCTAGAGGAGAGTAGCTTGCAACTTGTGTAGCTCCGCTCTATCTAAAATATTCCCAGTCTGGTCATATATGCTTTCCTTAAGTTGGACCTCATCCTCAGCCGTTTTCAGATTCTGGAAAACATTGCCAAATAGGAACTTATTCCAATCCTTTAGGCATGCCTTCAGCCTGTGCAATTTTAGAGAGAAACCAAGCATCCCAGTCTTTGAAATTTCCTGGGTCCAGCTATCATTAACCACATCAAGAAAATGTTCTCTACGTAACCACATCTTCTGGAACCGAAAAAGACTAGGTCACGTATCCATATCAGCTCTGAATTGAAGAAGCAAAGGAGCATGATCGGATGTTGTTCTATTTAAATGATGTATCGATGATGCTTGAAAGAACTCCATCCACTCCTTATTTAACAAAACGCGATCAAGCCTTTTCAGCACTTTTCCATTTTGCCTAGTTCCCGTCCATGTAAAAAGATTTCCCACCAGAGATAGATCCGTCAAATTACAGTCATTTATCCATGAGTTGAAGTCATCCATTGACCCTCTATCTGGCTGCGACTGTCCTTCATATTCACCAATATGACGAATGACATTAAAATCTCCTCCGATCATTCATGGCAAACCAGAATAACTTCCAATAAAATCTCGTAATTCAATCCATAAAATCTGTCTCTCTTGACGCGTAGACTTTGCATAAACCGCCGATATTAACACCTTTCTTCCTATTTTCTGATTTTCAACCTCAAAATATGCGGCTTGTTCAGAACCCCCAACCAAATTAACCACCCAATCAGAAGAAGCAAAGACCCAAATTTTTCCAGAAACTGAAGCAAAAGCCTCCCGAAACCGTAATTTATTCCTAAGTACTTCTAGCTGTGAACCCGGAATCATTGGCTCCAATAAAACCAAAAAGGAAATAGAATACTGCCTAACCAAATTTTGGAAGACGACATTGAGATGGCTTGTTTCCAACGCCGCGTATATTCCATATTAATTGATTATTCATCGGAAACTTGCGGAGGAGTAACACCATGAAGTCTCGCAGACTTGCGAGTTTTTGAGAGATGCAATTGTGACTTTTTAGTCGATCCCCGGGGCCGGCCAACCTTTGCTTTTTTATGATCCTCTCCATCAGATACCACGATTCCATTATTTTCAAATTCTGTTTCCTTGCTGCTAAGTCCAATCGAAGCATCATCTTGCGTTCCATCATTAATTACCCTTTCTGGATTCTCCAAACTAGTTATAGTATCCAAATCAAATCCTTCCGCATCAGAGTCTGAATCAATCGCCGACTCAACAAACCCTTCCAGTTGCTCTTCCTTCTCATCTTCATTGTTATTAGTCTTTTCAAATACATGTTCCTCTGATAGATCATCCAGCACTGCAAAACGCGATGAGAGGTTAACCTGCAGAATGTAAACAGCGAGCTGTTTACATCCATTTTCCGCAGGTTGCAATTTTGGATTTTGATCATGCACATCCCATGAGATATCCGACTTTTCCCCTTCTTTGCTATTCTCCAGAATTGTGGCCAGTTTTTCTTTCGTTATTTTTCTCTTTCCCGACGACGGATTAAGTGGACTTCTATCCATTACGTCAAATGGGGTATCAAAGGTATGCGAAAGACCAGATGACGATGCTTTTGAATCTGTCATTTGAGTATCCGTATTTGGTTGATCCACTTGTTGCTTTTGTTTCCAGTTTCCTTGGGTTCTAGTGACTGGGGTTTTCAATTTCTCACCAGCATTCTTTGACGGTGCTGTTTTCAGATCCTTAGTCGTGACCTTTAGCTTGCCGCGACGACAAACTTTTATGCCATGACCGACTTTCTTGCATTCGGAACAATATTCTGGCAAGTTTTCATAGGTAATTTCCTGGTAGTACGAGTATTCCTCCGTGCCGAGTAGAACTCTTTTTGGGAGATCTTGTAGCAGATTAGCTTCGACGCAAACCCTAGCGATTGACGGCCTTGATAAGTTCATAGTCGGGATGTCAATTTTTAGCCGAGATCCAACAATGCTCGCCAAACGACTGAGATAATCCTCATTGAAACGATGGATTGGCAGCCCTTCAAAAGCAATCCACACCAAGACAGTAGGCGATTCATGCTCCGGATGAAATTGCGGAGTCCACTTAAGAACCCGCATAACATGATAATCAAACGTCCAGAGCCCTTTGATCCAACATCGATGGTAGGCCTCTTCCAAGTCAAAAAGAATGTGGATATGGCGATGATCAATCATTCCAAGAGAATAACTTCCTTTGAATCCAATTTTCTGAAATTGAAGCTATAAAAAGTCCATCTTCGGTTTTCCTTTTGAAAATTTCCCAACCAGTGATAATTTGAAAGGCACCGCCAATGATTCATCTTCATCTTTTGTTAACAAAAAAGCGGGTTCTCCTTTATAAATTGAGGGTTTGGATGTGATAGGATGAGATACAGATTGAGAGATTCCAGCCGGATTGATGATATTTCTAGGATTTGTTTTAGAACCGTTTAGAATTTGAGCAAAAGAGGGCAGCTTTTGCCTGTGATCATCCGGCGGCCTTTTGGCCGCCATAAGGAGGTAGGGTTTTCGGACAAGAAAATGTAGAGAGAAGTCAGAGAGGAAATTTTAGAGAGAGGAAAAATATTCATAACAAAAATAATTTTTTAGAAAATGATATATATAATATAATATATACTAAACACTAAAACGATATATTGAAATGAATGGAGGGAGTCTTATTTTAGGTGTAAAAGGTGGGGTCATCTTTTTGTGAATAATGTCGACAATGATAGAACATAGTAACACCAAGAATTTAAACTAAAGGAAAATGACCCAATCATTAAGGATCCCAAAACCGGGGTGGGGGGGGGGGGAGGATAGCAACAAACAAGGAGTTGATCTCTCTGTTGCGATTTTGTTTTGAGCCCACTTTTTGGATTGTCATCAAAATGCCCCAACCCCAGACTGTACAATGCCCCAATACTATAAGCATCTCCCCTCATAGAACTAAAAAGAAGACTTTTTAATAAAAACTTAAAGTTTTCTTAATAAATGAAATATAATATTGATGTTTAGGTCCATATCATATTTCCTTCTAATTTATATTTGAAAAAAATTTATTGATAGTAGTGTTGATATTCAAATACCTATGGATACAAAATTATTACGATATCACAAAATAATCAATTCATCCGTGCGCAAACTTCTTGTTCATAGAAAGTGACTAATTTAGAGGACTATAAATTATTTTTTCCTGACAAAGAATATAAAAGCATCAGGTACAACTGTTAAAAAATATTTAGAAATAGCAGTAAGTAAAAACACAAATGAGATTGTAAGACCTAAGATCCCCATCTCACTTAATCTAATGGCTAGATGAGATCGGATGAAGATTGTAGTCTTTGTGTTATATGAACTATGAATAGAAGTTAGAGTGCACAAGGCAAGGGCTCTATAGTGTGCAAACTCTTATTAGCATAGTTAGGTTGAATGAACATGACCATCAACACATCTTAGGAACACATTATTAACCTTATATGGTTTTTCTTTATCTTGTTACTTTCATCTTATTCTCAATCTTTCATACTTTAAATATTAATTATTTAGTGTATTTGAGATGGCCTATTTTCTCAACCCAACATAATTTAATTGTAATTTAACAAATAGCCTTCTCGTAAGATTGATACTTACTTGCACGACACAACGACGGGCTTACTCTTGGGTCTTGACTCTTGAGTACGTGCAAGCAAGGTTCATTGTTAGCTTGTGTGTCTCTCTAATATACACCCGAATTGCACAACAACACGTAGTAACATTTTAATTTGTTTCTAATGTTAACAAATTTTGTTTGCTAATGTTCAAAAGATTATAATGGTATTGGTGTCACTCCTAATTTGCAGCAAATTTTTCCCGATCTATACTTCTTACTTCTCCATTAATGTTTTTTCTCCAATGATATTCCATTAATTTTATTAGTTTTTCCTCTACAATTATCTCTTATGTGTTATTGCCCTACCCTACAATCGTAATAACTACTTCCGGGGAGCAAAAGAAAAGTTGTTAACCAAACCAATTAATAGAAAATAAATATGCTAAAAACATTTAAATACGGAATAAGTGCAAAATACCAATACATTTAAATTATTATTATCTTCTTTTTTTGTGGGTTAAACTGTAAATTGTATTCATCATCACCAACAAACAAAACTGCATCATTTGCGTCATTGATGGGTGCATTTCGTACTATGTTTTTAGGCATCAATTTTACTTCTTTATACTTTAATTATAGGTCAATTAGGTTAGAATTATATGTTTATAGGTTAATTTGGTGACTTATGGTAATACAGGGCTGAAATGCAATACGAGCAGAAAAGGGGGCAAACTGTGGCAAATTGGCGAAGTTACGGGCCAAATTGGAAGAAGTTGCAGGGACTGATGTGCAAGGGCTGAGAAGAGGAAGAATCCGGCGGAAAAGGGCCAATTTGGAGCAATCCTTCGAAGCTTAGGAAGAGAGGAGCCGTTGGTTAAGTGATGTTGCTGACATTGAAGAAGATTGATGTGCCTCAAAGCTAAATTTATCAACTAAATTCCAAATGATGATTTGAGGTAAGGGGGAAGTAAGGAGAAACATCATGGGTCTCCTCTCTTTTGAATAAAACCCATTTGGTGAAGAGGAGACTAACATGGCTAAGCAAGATCTCTCCCCCTAACATCTATAAAAGGCAACAGCAGCTGAAGATGAAGGCATCGAAGACCAGAAACACTTAGAAGTAGGATTGTAGTGTAGTTTAGTTCAGTTAGGAAGAATAGAGTATAACTCTGGAAGGTAGACTCAGGGATGTCTCTTGGGGAAGTGAGAAGCTGACTTTGAGAAATCAGCTGCATTTTACCACACTTCCTGACTTTACTCTTCCCCTGTTTCCTTCCCTTTCTGTGGTAATCAGGATGGAGTCTCCACATCTAAACTTTGTGGTGTTTGTGCTTCACTCCATGAGTAGATAAACTCATTTCTAGAGTCTAATCCCTCTACTCTATATGAGTATGTTTTTTATTTATGCTCTCGGATGATATTTGTATGCTTAATTCTAGAGTCTTAATTATCCTTTTAGGTTGAACAAGCCATTCAAACTAATTGTGCTTGCATGTTAGGGGAATCCCGGAAGGATAAATTTAACTTAGAACGTCTAGTATTAACCGGTGATGAGGAGGTAACAGCCCAAGGTTTCAAACAACAATGGAAGTTAGTTTTTTGGCACGAGGCAATCATTAGGGCCGAAGATCTTAATGGCTTAGTAGTAATTTCAAGTCGACAATGGAAGTTAGTTTACTGGTTACTAGTAGGACTATTTTTTGGAACAATCGGAAGTGACCTTACAGTGTTTATATGCCTGGTTGAATACAGTTTCATACCACATAGAGAGCTAAAATAATCAATACATACCTATATAGAGTAGAGTGAAGGACGACCCTAGGCTACCATCACTTCGCCAAGTCATAAACTCACTAGCCAAGTTGCCATTTTTACTTATGTTCTGTGTTTTGGTACTGGATCCCAATTTTCATCAAATGTTTCCCTTCTCTATGGAATCGACCCTTCTTACCACTTACTACAAGTTTTATGTAGGTTTATTTTGATGGTCTCGACATCCATCAAAAGTGGCACCGTCGCCGGGGACGGCGTAAGACATCTTTTTGAAAATTGGTTACCGTTCATCATTTTTATGCTTTGTTTTCTTTTACTGTTAGAATAAACCCCAAATTCTCTTTGTTCCGGTTACTTGGTTTGTTTGGTTCTTGAATTTTGGTGTATGACAATTCCTCGGAGGTATTTTTCTTTGATCCAGAAATTAAAGCCACTTCCAGGAAGATCAGACAACTCAGACGTCAGTACTCTATTACTGAAGCCCAAGCGGAGTTTGCTGAAGCCATGGAAGCATTAGATGAAGAAGAGGTCAGACACAATGGTGGCAATGAGATTCACCTAGCTCAACCCTGATTGTTGAGAGATTATTGCATCCCATTGGTATTCCCAGATGTGGAGCTTGATAATTTTGAACCCAAATCAAATATGATTCAATGGTTCAAGTAGATTGTCCATTTCATGGTCTGCCATTAGAAGACTCGAATGACCTTTCACGGACCTTTCTCATGGTCTATGGTACATTCAAGATCCAATGACTGTCTCAGGATGATATCAAACTGAGATTGTTCCCATTCACTGATAAGAACGTAATTTACATATAAATTACCCCGTTAATATTGTTGAGATTTCTTTAAAGTGTATTTTATATGAATTTTCTACTACCAAATATGTTTTATTTGTTATCTCCTTCGTAGAAGCAATATGAGTAAAATGCATTTCAAAGGTGGTGAAAAGGACAATTTATGCACTTGAAGAAAATTTGGTGAAGTCTCCAAGCACTCCGCAGAGTGAAAAGACCACTCCACGGAGTGACTCAAAGAAGAAAAGCAACCGAGAACTGACATTCCTCTTTCTGCACCACTCTATAGAGCAACAGGGGCTCTCGACGGAGCGAGGTGCTGCTGAATGTGAACGTTCGAAACCACTCTGCTGAGTGATGCACGTCACTCTACGGAGTGACGCAACCCTATTTTTATGAAACTTTTTACCAAGACCTAGAGTCGCGTATTTTCACAATAAAAACCCTATGAACGCCTGAAAAACAGATATCAGACCTTGGAGGAGGCTACTAGGGTTCCATATAAGACACACAACAAGAGAAAGGTTGGTGATCACTTCAACAACCCAATCCGGAGCAAGATCGAAGTCGTCGGTGAATCAATCTGAGAGAGTTCTTTCTCTCGACTTTATGGACATGAACTCCTTATTTTCTCTCTGTGTTTTCATTTTTTATTCATCTATGAGTAGCTAAACACCCTTCGGGGTTCAATTTCAAAGTACATGAAGATTGTTTGATTAGTAGTTAAACTTTGTGGTGAAGTTGAATATCTAAGTTGATTGTTCTTATTGATTCCCAGTAAATATCTTGATCACATACTTGTTGGTGCATGAAATCTTCATAGATCTAGTAATAGATTATGTTAGTTAGGTTTGTCAACTTGGGCCGTGACTTGTACGTAAAAGTTCAAGGTTTCATGTCGGATAGGAATATACCGCCATGGCATGGTTGGTCTTATAAGTTCTTGAGTGTAATGACTCCATGTTTGGGTTCTACCATAGGAATATAGGTGGTTCGCAACTATGGAGATGTCCTTCTGACTCTGGAAAAAGC